AGTACACTTTCCATGAAAGGTAACGTCACTTCAAAACCTAGTGCTGACAGCTAACAATATTAATAATGTTGAAATGATTATCATGAAAGTCTGACATACACATGGGTATGCAATATATGAGACTTCAAACCCTAATGTTTCTTTATCTGATTAATTTTCCAATGATTCCATAAATAGCAAAACATCTTATAAGTTAAATGTAATTTGTCATGTGAAGGATATTATCCAATGCATTCACTCTCAGCATCATTACATACTGACCAAATGGAATTAGACAGATAGAAGAAACTATAAAATCATTCTTGCATCTCAATAAAATAGAGAAAGATGTTCATTCACTGCTCAAAGAAAATTTGTACATATGTTCATCACCAAACTCCTGGCCATGCACTTTACCTGTTCTACACTGTGATAGAGATCTGGGTCTGACAGCTTTCTCTGCAAGCTTATTCTTGTTAATGGCTGCATGGAGGCTGACTGACTATTATTTTTTTTCCTTGCTGCTGTTCGCTGAAGACTACGTAAGTTCTGAAATAGGAAGAAATATGCTAACATTGATAGACCATATGACTCATGAAAAACCCATACACAATGATGACCAAAATATCTTACGTTATCTTATTTTGCTGTTAGTAATGTTTATAACATTATAGTAATTACAATGTTTATAATTTCCATTCAGAATGCATATGGAGAAGAGACAGCCCATTATACTGCAGTGATACTTGGCTAGACACTTGTTTCTTTCAGTTTTTGATTAACCAAGTACAGAAAGCCTGAAGGGAAGGAAGTCAAGGAAACAGTCATCAGTACACTTTCCATGAAAGGTAACGTCACTTCAAAACCTAGTGCTGACAGCTAACAATATTAATAATGTTGAAATGATTATCATGAAAGTCTGACATACACATGGGTATGCAATATATGAGACTTCAAACCCTAATGTTTCTTTATCTGATTAATTTTCCAATGATTCCATAAATAGCAAAACATCTTATAAGTTAAATGTAATTTGTCATGTGAAGGATATTATCCAATGCATTCACTCTCAGCATCATTACATACTGACCAAATGGAATTAGACAGATAGAAGAAACTATAAAATCATTCTTGCATCTCAATAAAATAGAGAAAGATGTTCATTCACTGCTCAAAGAAAATTTGTACATATGTTCATCACCAAACTCCTGGCCATGCACTTTACCTGTTCTACACTGTGATAGAGATCTGGGTCTGACAGCTTTCTCTGCAAGCTTATTCTTGTTAATGGCTGCATGGAGGCTGACTGACTATTATTTTTTTTCCTTGCTGCTGTTCGCTGAAGACTACGGTAAGTTCTGAAATAGGAAGAAATATGCTAACATTGATAGACCATATGACTCATGAAAAACCCATACACAATGATGACCAAAATATCTTACGTTATCTTATTTTGCTGTTAGTAATGTTTATAACATTATAGTAATTACAATGTTTATAATAAAAATAACCATCAATATTCATAGCACCAGTAAAAATATATTTTCCCGCCAATTCAAGTAAAGGTGAAATCAGGTAAGGCAGAGCCATCTAGCGTAGAGAAATTTCAAAAAAAATATATAAAAAATGAGCACAGCATTTATCCCATTTTTTGTTCATTTTTACCCGGCACGAATGGGTTAAACGAGAAAATTAACACAACTGGCAACCACATAACAATATGACACATAAAACTCTTGGTACTCATGTTTCTAGTCAGCCAGGAGTGAAAAGCATCTGACAAAAATACCATTATCTTCTACAATCCTGATTTGTACCTGTTCACTGGTATATCTACTACCGATTCAACTGTCACTCATTCAATCCTTCTTTTATCCAATGTCCAGAATCTATTACTGCATGCTACTTGATGAGGAGAAACAATGGCAAAGGCTTGAAATACTCACTTGTTGTTCTGGTTTGTTGGTAACTTGAAGACTTGTGCATCGTAGGCGTCATAATCAAAAATAGAGTTCGGCAAAGCTGTGTGCTGTATATGTTGCTTATTGAATACGTCCATCTTCTCTTTCTTTGCCGTTCTGGGCCGCTCGGGAGGGAGCTTGATGCGAGGAACGAAGGTGCCGTATCCCACTTTCTTGTTGGTTGAGTAAAAACTCAAGTTGATCCATGTGTGCGGCATACTGTAGTCATCGGCATTGATGCTCCCTTTCTTGTTGTGAAACTGTATGAGAAAAGTTTAGCTCTGTGCAAATATTCAGTTCTAGAATAATGTGATTTCAAAATCCTTAAAATATCAAATAAAGATGTTGACTGGCTTCATAGAAATTTGTGTTCACTCCCTTGCTTCAAACACATTGGCTTTAATCTTTATCAAATTTACAATAAAAAATCATGTTTTTCTTTTCTGTTGGTTTTTTAAAGCAGAGAAAAGTATACAGTTGGAGTCCTTCCAAACTATACATGTTCTGTTATTAACAGGATACACAATGATTTCTGATGAAAATCCAGAAAAAAGTAGCCTTAACATAAGAGCTTTTATTTTTCATTAACATTTTAAGGTAATAAAACTCATTCTGGGAGAGCTAAATCTTTTTTTTTTCCCTCCTAAATAACAAGTATACCATTACCAAATGTAGAAAAATATATATTCAAATAAGTGCTGTGTCATTAAAAAACAATCATATTCAAAATATATAACCCTGACTGTACAACAGTATATCTGCATTAAAAACTACCTGACTGCACAGCACAGGTAACTAGAATACCTAAAAACCTGAGTCTTCTTCATGGGCCTCAAACATCATCAGTGACAAAACCCTTCCATCCTGAGCAGTGGCAAAGTATCTTAAGTCATTTCACAAAATGACCTCTAAAAATCATTACTGATATAGTTTAACTCAATGATATATCTAACATTTCCTCAGATCTACATGTCCCTTCAGACAGAACTGTTGGAATGTGTATAAAATTTTGCAACAAACAAACAAAAACAAATAAAAGTCTGAATAAATTTCACAAATTACTGTACCAACACATGTATAAGTACAGCAAGAGTCACCACCATTTGCATGGACAAAAATTAGTCAGGTGAAGAATTTAGTGTGGGGGCAATCACAACTAAATGTACAAATCTTAAAGCCTACCTCTTCCTACCTCATCCTTTCTAAGAGAACCCTATTACTTGTGCAAGTCACTCCTCACCTTCAGAAGTGGAACAGCATGTAAAGGTTGTTCTCCGACACACACTAAATCTGACCCAACACCATTATCAATGATGCGCTGCTTTGTAATGTTGGTTAATTCACGGTCAACCTCGAAGACGCCAACTCCAGGGGTTATCACAACCGACATCTGACCAGTGCGATCAAAACTTCTATCAAGGTAATGCTTGTCAAAAACTGAAAAAAAAATAAAAATAAGTAAATAAATAACAACTAAATGAAAACAAAATTCCATTTCATCATTACACATTAAATTGGAAGGATAACAAGACCTCATAACAATTAGCTATTAAATAAATGTATCACAATTTTGAGGTTTTAATAAACAAGTAATTAATGTAAAGAGCACTCAAATTAGTTTTTATTCAATAAGAATGATAGTCTCGTATTCAATTTTGTTTTAATTTCTTCTGGAATAAAAAAAAAGAAAGTGCATAAGCTGGGAGGCGAGTGACCAGCATCCAGAGTATTTCAGAGTACTAAGCATCTATGAGTTAGACTGGCATAAATGTTTCCAGATTATATTACTCCCTGCTTTAATTCTGCACATAAGACTGAAATTGAAGTACAACAGTTACCATTAAGTGATATATTCAGCACTTCTAGGAAATTCCCCTGAGAGGCACATGAATTAGTTGCCTCTGGAACAAAGATATCTTGCTGTCGGTGGTGATCTAGAACTTTGGTTAGGTAGCTGTTAAACAACTGCCGCAGGTGAGTCAGTATGGGAGACCAGTCATCATATCGTTCATTTTGCACAGCAACTCTGAAAAAAGGGAAAAGAAAATACTGTCACTGCCACCAAACACTTATTTTGCTAAAAATAGCTGAATTATAGACACCTATAAAAGCCATCATTCTACTCTAATATTTATTTCCTAAGCATGTTCTTTGAATAACCAAAGAGCTACTCAAAATGTACCTGTAAAAATCTTCGTAAAATCTGCCTTTGTAATCTTCCTGCAAACACTCCCTCATACAGGCGGGAAATTCATCTATGCTACTGGCTTTGTAATATGTGCGGGAAAATAGCACAATGGTCACATCATGATTACTTCCTTCCTTCTGAAAATTTTAAAAAGTATTTTTTCTTTAGACATTTCACAATAATAAAAGCATCTAAAAAATATATATGTGATAGTAAGTAAAACTTCAATATTATGCTCTATCATTTTGATTGCATGTTCCATATATCACTTGGCATGTACCAACTCATTCACACACTCACTCACTCACTCACTCTTTCTCTTTTACAGTAGTATATATTTACCTTCCATTTTGCAAAGAGTTCAGACAGGAAGCCATTTACTGCTTTCTCAAAGTAAAGGTCCCCATATATATCAAAATCCCACATCTCTGAGCTCATCTGAATGAACAGGTATACCATGCTCGTAGATGATCGATAAACAATCTGTAAAAAAAGTCTCTCTCTATGAATTACTGTCTGTAATTAAATGAACATCAAGTTTTCTTTATATCTGATGTTTTTTTCAGGTTAAAATATCAATGCAGGTTTTTCTTAGTGTGTGTTTTTGTGTGTGTGCACACATGCAGATTCACATGTTTCTTCTCACCTAACATTTCATGAAATCCATTTATAGAACCCACAAAGACTGAGCTTCTATCTCACCTTAGTATCATCTGTAACAACCCCACAGGCAACCTTCTCTCCTTGGGCCCACATCTCGTAAACTTGGCATCGTATGCTCCCGGCACAGAATTCTAATTTCTTGTTAATGTACATAACTGAGTCTACCTGTTTTAAGAAAAGAATAAATATTTATTCTAACAAAATAGGAC